CCCACCCCTTTCCCCCCACAATTTTTCCCCTCTGGTTCTTTAAAAACCCCCCCCGGCGGGAGTATGCCCGCAAAAAAAAGATACATTACCTCCCTTTTCCCTAGGCTTTAACTTCAACTTTTCTAAACCAAAACCCAAAAACTCTTCCTGGTACATGGGGAACAATCCCCCCAACTGGTAAAACCCAAACCTTCGCAAGCAGCTTTCACAAAACCCCTACCCTTTGAAATTTTTCCCAGGTTTTTCCCAACCAACAACAAACCCCCCAAAATATTTCAAAATTCCCTTTAACTCCACCCCCACCCCTACAACTTTTCCCAAAAACCCAAACATAACCTTTTTTCCCACTGCCCCCCCTCACAAATTTCGCGCAAAACCTCCCATTTAAAAAAACACCAATTTTAAACCTCCTTCTCAATCCAACACCCCAACCCACCCTGGTGCACGGTAACAAATTTCAACCTCTTCCTCAGCCAATCGCACCTTGAACCCCACAAAAAGTTAAACACTCGCCCTTCAGAATTCCCCAATCGCCCGTCCCTGTTAATGGGAACACGGCTGCTACGTGCCAACCTTACTATACAATAATACATTTATAACAATCACTCGTTGCACGAGAGTCAGATGATGAGGTCGCAATGCACCCAGACGCCCCTGAATCCTTTCCATTAATCTATTCGAGTTTTCCTCTCGAGCAGCATCCCAAATCATCCTTATAGGTGATACCACAAATTTTAAAGACACCGTTTGTTTTTCTCACAACGTTACATCTCCCCCCCCCTCCACCCAATCACCCAACCCCATGATCATTGACTTCTCTCTATTTACCTGCATCCCTGTTGCATTTCCGAACGGGTTGCACAAAATCATCCAAAGCACCCAACGCCATCCCCTCCCGAACCAGGACTGTTGTATCGTCTACATATCCTATTATTCCCGGCCACACATTCCCTACCCCTCCCCCATCCTCCACTCGTGTCACATACACAACGTTCAACCATTCTATAGAAGGGGTCCTGAATGCACGCAAACAACATTTGTGACACGGGACACCCCTGCCTAAGTCCCCTACCCATTACAATCTCCTCCCCCAAGCATCCATTAATCTGTACCCTCATCGTGGCTCCATTGTCCCAACGTGGTTACCCAATTCACTATTTCTTCCCCATAACCCTGCCTCCTAATATAGCTCCCAATGCTCCTCTTTCCACCCTGTCATAGGCCCCCTGCCAGTCTAAAGCCAACAACGCCGCCCTCCCCCCCCCCTTTTGACTCCACAAAACTTTTTCAGTATTCCATGACCCTCAGTCATCGACCTTCCAGGCAAACCATACTGCGTTTTCGAAACCACTCTCCCTAACCACACATTTGAACCGATTACCCAAGACTTTAGCGAACAACTTATAATCAGCACATAACAGAGATATGGCACGGTACTCCTTGAGGGTGTGCTGCCCCTTACCCTTCTGAACCAACACTACAACTGCTGTTGCTTGCTTGTCCCCCATCACACCCTTCTCCTTCATCTGATTAAATAACCTACCCATGAAACCCCTTATCACCTCCCAATGTTGGAGATAAAATTCAGCCGGGAGACCGTCTATTCCCGGTGCTTTGCCTTTCCTCATTCCCCTTAAAGCCAACTCTATTTCCTCCTCTGTTATTACCCCCCCTAAAGCCTTTCTATCACTATTCCCTAAATTACACGTCACATACTCACACACTGGGAGCGCTTGAGGTTTCTAAACCTGTATTCCCTGGAACGCAGGAGGGAGAGATACATGATTATATACACCTGGAAAATCCTAGAGGGACTAGTACCGAACTTGCACACGAAAATCACTCACTACGAAAGCAAAAGACTTGGCAGACGATGCACCATCCCCCCAATGAAAAGCAGGGGTGTCACTAGCACGTTAAGAGACCATACAATAAGTGTCAGGGGACCGAGACTGTTCAACTGCCTCCCAGCACACATAAGGGGGATTACCAACAGACCCCTGGCAGTCTTCAAGCTGGCACTGGACAAGCACCTAAAGGCGGTTCCTGATCAGCCGGGCTGTGGCTCGTACGTTGGTTTGCGTGCAGCCAGCAGCAACAGCCTGGTTGATCAAAGGCGCTGATCCACCAGGAGGCCTGGTCACAGACCGGGCCGCGGGGGCGTTGACCCCCGAAACTCTCTCCAGGTAAACTCCAGGTAAACACCTTCTCTAAATCCACATTTCCCACCTTCCCACTTGTCCAATACCCTTCATACCATTTATCCGCATACGAAAACAAAATTCCCTTTTTTGTAGTTAGTATCCCCCTGCCCCATTCTAAAAACCCCCCCCATCTCGTGTACCTCTAACCTCAAATTTAGCTGAAAACCTCCCGTTTTTGGGTTTTTGCCCTTTCCAACCACACCCGAGGGTTTTCCCCCCCAAAAAGAAAACCTCCTCTCCCCCCTCCTGCACCCTTACTGCTTGAAACCTCTCTTTTTGGGTAACTCCCTCAGTCTCCCCTTGACCTCGACAATTTCACCCAAATGGGTATTTTGCCCCCCACCCCCCCCCCTTTCCCCATAACACCCCCTTTAAACCCTGCCCCTCCAGAAAATTTTGAAAGCCCTATTTAAAATCATTTAAAATTTTTCCCCCACCCCCACAAAATTTTTTTCCAAACCTTTTCCTTTGGCACACAACCCACCTTTGTACACATCTTCCACTCCCCCGTGCCTCCCCCCTAAGCTCCTTCCAAGGACAAAAAAAACCCCTTTAACCCCTCCCCCTCATCACTCAATGCATTTTATTTTTAAATTTTCCCAAATTAACTCCTGAAATTACTTCTGCAAGCGCCCCCCCACCCAACCTCCACCAACACTCCCTCTATGATCTGACCATGCTACTTCAACAGTTTTTAAAGCTCCACTAAAACCCCCCCCTGAGAAAGATACACTCTATTTTAACCTCGCTGCATACCCTCTCCAAACAAATGTATGCTCTGTCCCCCAAAACCGCCCCCCCCTCAAAATGCTTTCCTCGAAACCCTAAATCCCTCAAAAAATCCGTAGGGCCCCACACAAAAACCTCCCCCTTTTGGGTTTTCCACACCGCCCTCCTAATGACGCATTTTCCAATCACCTCCTACATTGCCACCTCCGGTAATGCAGGGAAAAAAAAAAACACAAGGTCCTCGCACACAAACCCCTGCTTCACCTGTACGTTTATTCCCCTGCAGGCGCATTTAACCCCAAAAAAAGCCAAAACTTTTCCCCCCAACCACAAACCACTACGTGCAAAAACCCCCCCCCTCCCCCCCCCCCCCTCACCTCTGCAAAACAAACGGGTTTCGCCTCCCTAATTAATAAACCCAAACCCCCCCTTTAAACGGCAGATGGCGGGGTTACCACCTGAAACCCCTCCATCTCCAACCCCCAACCCTCCTTAAAATTGTGTTTCCTTTTAAGAACACAACACCCCATTTCAAAATTTATTCAAAACCCATTCAAAAACCATTCTCTTTTTTAAAACCTATTACAAAAAAAACCATTAACATTTACTGTCAACCCCCCGGGGGCCTATTAAAGTTTCCACCCCGCCCCCTCTCTTAAATCTTCCGATGGCCACCAAAACGGTGGGCCCAAACTTGTCACCCTAAACATTTTCCCCTCTCCCCCCCCCATTTTTTTCAGGTCCCTCCTTCAGGGGCCCCCAAACTACCTTCACCTTCTGCCCATTTTTTTGCTTCCCACTGCTGTGCTGGCGTTAGGACATCATCTAATCCATCCCAGCGGCTCCCCTTTCTTGGACGGGCGCACCTCCTAGTTTGGGGTCTGGGGATGCCCACAATGTCCCCTTTTCCCCCACTGTGCACAGTGGCAAAGATCTCGGTGACACCTCAGTCCCCTGTAAACCTACCCGTCGTCCGAATAGTTCTTTTTTTTGTCCCCACACCCCCCTTCCCCCTCGTCTTCCACCACCCCTTCAGGAGCATCCCCCTCCCAGGCGGTGCCCAAGGATTTCAGAACCCGCTAATTCCCCCCTCAAGTTCCAACACTTCCTCCCTGTTTTTTTTTGCTCAAAACCCGATCCCCTGGAAGTGTTCAAACCAGGTGACTGGTAAGGGCCTCACCCCCCTTCCCCAGCCTTTATACCCCCTCATCCACTATCTGGGCTCCATAGCCCGCCCAAAGCCCCCCCTTTCCCAAAACGTTTTTAAAACGCCTGCTTCCCCCGGGGTGTAGAAGCGGATGCTCCGCCCCGGGGCCGGGACCTCGTTGGCCGTTTTCCCACACTCCGCCGCTATGTGATCATATTCCCCCCCATAGCGGCATGTACCCCCCTTTTGCCCCGCGTATAAACACCATGACCTTGCCCCCTGAATTCCTTTAGGTACAACTAAGAGGTATGGGGTGCCCGCAATGTCATTTTAGGTTAAAATGCCCTCTGGAAATACCTGTGTGGGGCCCCCCGACACCCATTTTACCATGCGGGGCCCAAAAAGAACATTTTCCGTATTCCTCAAAAACTTTTCTGTTTATCGGGTCTAAATCCGCCTAAAAGGGGGACATTACGCATTTAAAATTCCATGTAAAATTTCTGGATACATCGACCCATCCTCACACGCCTGGGTTGTGAAATTCAAACTTACGCCCTGAAAACGGTTAAACCAAACCCGACTCATAAACCGTTGCTAAGCACTTTCACAAAAAATCTACGTGCTTCCGTTCAATGCAAAACGCCGTACAACTCTCTATCCTGAATTCCAAAACGTGTCTCTGATGTTTTTAGGTAGTAATACCGGGGCTGACGCTGGCGTTTTTGGCCCCCCCTGATAAGTTAAACCCGAAAAGTTTTTTAAACCGGGCGTCTATAACTGAAAACGCCATTTTTGCTAATGGTAGTTCTCCGGGTCTGGGACAGAGGCGCAAACACCCCCCTCACACTACTGCTGTCAGGGAACTAAGGGGTTTTAACGCAGGGGGGTCTGCACGGCCCAAAAACGATGCGACAATAAAAAAAAATGTGGAACGCTTCCCCGTTTTGGGGCGTGCCCACCTTGCGCGGGGGCCATGCAATCTTCTCTGTATCTTTTCCAATTTAGTATAGGGTACGGGCCGAAGCAAGTACATATTTTATTTTTATTAGTTTAAAATTTTCATTGTACCATAGCTAAATTCTAACCCCAATACATAGTCAAAACCAAAATTTCCACTAGTTTAGACCAAAGTGCAATTACTATGAGAGCCCTAGTGCTTTTTTTAAATTTTTTGAAATTTTTATATTATTAATAAAACCTTTTTGTACTATACTAAATTCAGTTTCCAAAACATAGCCCTCCCAAAAGCCCATTATTAGACCTTAGTGAAATTAAACAAGTGAGAGCCCTTGTTCTATTTTTTTTTGTTTTTTTTTTATTACTATTTTATATACCTAGTTGTACTTTATTTCTTTTCCAGCAAAAACACAAAAACAACATCAACTTCATTATGTGTAGTAGTGACTAAAACTCAACATGACCAAAATACTCTAGCTATATACTTTTTCCAAATTTCCCTTTCCACTAAGATATCAGTCCCGAACTCAACACAAAAAACCGGGATATAAATAACCAAATTTAACCTAGAAGATGATTGATCACTTTGACCCCTGATCAAACCTCCATAACTGCCCCCCCCCAATCAAAACCATTGGAAAGTAACGGGCCTTTTACACAGAAATAAACAAGCCAAAACTATCCTAAAAAATGCTAAAATCTATCAGTACTTAACTACAACATCAGGCCCTTTAAGCAAACACTATGATGACCTCTTACCCACTCCTTGAATCACTAAAGACCCCCTTTTTTCTCCTGCATTATTCTTATGAGACCTGGCTTAACGGGACAAAAATAGATATCTACCCTCTAAAAAGGGAAAAAACAGCAATTCAAACAGCAGCCCAAAACCAATTTGGGGGTTTTTGGGAAAATCTATTTTTCTAACCAATTATTTTGCCCTTAAAAGCACCATTTTGCTTTAGTGTAAATATGGGGAATACTTATTGCTAATTTTACTGAAAAAAAAAACCTTAAACCCCTTTAAACAGCCGGTCCCATTTACCGGATACCCTCACACAAACACCCCAAATTTTTTTTTCAGTGAAAAATTTAAAAGTCACTAATAAAAAAACAAAAAAAAGAAAAAGAACCCCCTTTCTTTTAAAGCTGGAGACTTCAAAAATAAACCTTTGGGCCCTTACTAGAATCAGCCGAACTGACTTCATCAACAATATTAAAAACACACTTTTTCATATCAACAATAACTAAACCAACCCCGGGTCACTGAGACAAGTGCAACCCTAATAGACCAAATATGGACCAATATACTACCCCCCTTTAAAACAGGGAAATCAAAAGATACACTAAAAGAAACCCCTACCCTTTCCTTTTTTTTCCTGAAAAAACCCTTAGTAAACCAAAAAATTGAATACAACAAAGTCTCCCTTTGACTCCATGACGAGGCCTCAGTAAGGAAGTTCACCAAACTGAAACCCAGAGACTGTTTTACCCGGCCTACAGAATTCTCCAAGGCCAAAGGTATTGATGACGGAAAAGACCAAATTTTTTTTAAAAAAATTAACCCTTTGACTATACAACAAACATTGTCCCATAAAAACAAAACCGATTTAAAAAACAAAAGGCTTGGTTGCCCATGGCTAACCAGCACCATTCGAAATCCCCTTTTACAAGAAACCCAATAAAGAAAAAACAATATAGAAAAGGGCTTAATTTCACAAAGAAAATTTTTAAACACTAAATTTAACAGCTCTCCCCCAAGTAATAAAGAAAGCCAAACCAAATATAAAACTCCAGTAAAATTTTACAGACACTAGAGGAGAAATAAAAAAGACCTGGAAAACCCTCTCTCAGATTCAGGGACCCCCAAACTGAGAAAAACCAAGAAATTGGGCCTAACTAAAAACCCAATGAAAAAACCACTACAACCCACTACACACAAAAAAAATAAACGACTTTTTCTCAACCAAAAGGATCTAACCCCGCCAGTAAAAAACCCCATACGAATGCCCCCTGCCGGGGGCTACCTAAAATGGGAAAATTTCCCCCAATTCCTTATATCTTGCAAACCCAAATGAGGGCCCCCGGAAGTCACCGAGATTATAAGCCCCTTTAAAATAACTCGGGGAAACGTCTCATGTCCACCAATTTAAATGGGACAAGAGAGCGGGCCCCTTTTCCTTTTTGCATGCTATTTCATTTCTTTTTTTTAAAAAGTCCTAAAACTAGCACCTTTCCCGAAACTACTCAAGATGGCAAAGGTTTTCACCAATTTTCATAAAGGTGGGACCCCCACAGACTTAAACAACATAGGCCAATAACTAAATTACCATTGCATCCAAAATCTTTGAGAAAAAACCCTGCACAGGGGACTGTATTTTATTTTTTTTAAAGGGTCAAAAAAAACCCAACCCCTGCCAAATTTTGGGTTCGGAAAAAAAAAGCACTAATGATGCAATCATAAAAATGCTAGATTGCGTACACGCATTGGAAAATAAAAGGGAATTTTCCCTAAGGGAAATTTTTAAATTTACCCCAAGAAAACTTTTTGGGCAAAAGTAAAACCCCGAAAATCCCTACTCCAAAAACTTGAAACATTTTGGTATAAGAGGCCATGGGGCTAGCTTAAATTTTAAATCTTACATTTTCAATAGGTATCAGTATGTCACCATTAAAGACACAGCTTAGCAACACGGCCCCCCCCTTTATACTGGGGGTTCCGCAGGGAAGTGTCCTTGGGGCCCCTGCTCTTCCTCATATAATCAATGACCTTCCAAAAAATATCCCCAAAACCTGAAAACCCATTCCCCTTTGGGTGACGACAAAGACTTATGTCATCTCCCCCACCCAATCTTTTCCACCCCCAACACCATTGGGGAATGAGGAGCTGATCAAAAAATCGACTTGGGTAACAGCCAATAAACTTACGCCCTTAAAACTGACAAAACCTACTATATTAGTTTGGTAGCAGAGCAGGAGAACCCCCAAAATTTAAAATTAAAAATTTTACAAAAAACCCCAAATTTTCCAGAAATAATGGGGGCAAATTCCTAGGGTTTACCCTTGACAACAAAACCCGAATTTTTTGCAAACCCCCCATCCACATATAACCAAAAAAAATTTTCCAAAACGGTTTTGGGGTCCCTCCAAGTTACGAATAAATAAAGTGCCGCAAAATGCCCTTTTTTCCCCACTTTTACCCCTCCTTATTTATCCAACCTCACCTATGGGTATTTTTTGCTTTGGGGGTCAACTGCAAACAACACAAACCCCCAAAACCAATAATAAACCCAAAAAAAAAGCTCAGTAAAAATAATCACTAAAACCCATCCCTGGGAACAAACCCCCCCCCACTCTTTTTAGACCTAAAATTACTCCCCCGTTCAGTACACCACACTTTCTACGGGGCAATCGCATCTACAAAGGGGCCTTTAAAAACTAATAAACAACCCTTTACCTAAAAACCCTTTTTTGAAAATTGTGACGAACCCACAGCATAACCCCAACACAAAATCCTAAAGACATTCCCCGTGTTTTCCCACTAAACCTTTACAAAAATTCAATGGGATTTTTAAAAGGCCCTAAAAACTGGGAAAACCCTACCTGAGGGAAATCTAGAACTGCAGAACACCTTTTATCCCTTTAAAAATACCATTAGAAAAAATCTTATCTCCCCCTGATACACCCCCTCAAAATAACTACAAAGAATACCAAACCCGGTGGTTCCACTTTTTCACTTCCCCTTTACCTTCCCTTTGAAAAATAAAAAGAAAATTAATCTCAATCAAAATAAGAATCCTGTATATTTCCCAAACCCGAAAATATGTACTGTGCCCCAAAAAAAAGCATTACATTGCTAAACTCACAAACTAGTATTTAGTCACTTAGACATAATACCCAAATTTTCCTCATAATTTTTTTTATATTTTACAAAATTTAAAATAAAAAATAAGTCCCCGAAAAAGCCTTTGCCATGCTAAGTGTTTTTAGTGGTACACTTTTGTAATCACTATTTTACAACAAGTAAACCACACAATAACCCCAAATTTCGTAAACTCAACATTGTAATCCTTATAGAGAATAAACTTTTAATTTTGAATTGAATTTGAAAAACCCCAGATGCCTCTCCCTTCCTAACATTGTCCCTAGAAAACCCTCCCGGAAACCCCAAAAAACCCTACTCCAAGCGAGTGGCCCCCCTTAACCCCCGATGCACATAAAAAATTTTTAATTTAGGCTTCACAAACCCCTTATCCCAAAACCCTCGTACAAAAACCCCCCCCCCCTCCCCCGGAGTCTACCCCCCATAGATGCCCATAAGTCCGGGGAATAAAATTCCCCATCCTCTGCACTTTGTAGCATCTGCATATTCAATTTCCAGTATCCCTTAAAACGATTCGGGAGACCCCCCCAGTCGAGCTCTACAAAAACTCCCCGGTGGTAGGAGAAAAAGACATTCAACACACGCACATTGATTACGACTACCCTCTGGGACACATACACTCTATCTAAACATGCCGCATAGCCCCTACGCACAAAAGTATGCTCAATCCCTAAGTCACGTCCTCCGCCCAGACAACAAGTCACCCAAAATAAGTGAACAGAAGCCCCACCCCCCCTCGGTTCAACATCTTTACGGCGCACCACACAGTTCCAATCACCACCGACCACTGTAATTTCCGGCAGGGACCTCAAATAATATACTAAGACATCTCTAACAAAAGTATTTTTAATTTTAACATCATGTTCAGCCGGCCATATACCCCTACAAAACCAACCCTTCTACTACCCCCAGTCCCCAATGACTCTCCCCACATGACCCTCCCCCCCTTCCTCCCAATGTCTCATCACAAACGGGCTGGTTGCTTTATCAACACAGCCACTCCACCTTTCAGACATCTGGAGTGAGTCACATAAATGTCATAACCATCCATCTCAAACAAACTTCCTACCTTATGGTTATGTTCTTGCAAAAAAACACATCTACTGCAAAACGATTCAACAACTCACGCACTTGCACACACTTTCTGACAGATTTCAAACCATTAACATTAATAGTTACACACCTAACTGTG